TAACAAAATCTGGAAAAAGTTAATGGGTTTGAATACTTTCAGAATGCACTGTATAAGTTAAAAGCACTGTGTGTGAGTATCCCTTACCTTCCCAGCATACAAAGAGCTATGAATGGATCAGTGGTTAACCGATCAGGGCCTTGATTGGCTTGGCAACAGTAACAAGACGTGATGTGTAATGAATGTCTTTGGACACATGAATGTTTTTGACACGTGCCCATGAAAGGTCTAGAACATTCATATTTTATATTCTGAGAACATGGCAACCATGTTCTGTGTATGTTTGGTGGGATGTTGATGGAATATTTCTTCTAACCCACAGAAAACTGGACACATGAATGTTCTTGCAACGTTCTCATTTAACGTGTCTAGAACAATATCTTATGTTCTGAGAGCATGGCAACGCCGTCCCCCCACCCCCCCCCCGTGCTAACTTTGCCACCGCTGCAGAAAATAATCCATGGGGAACACTGGTGTGTCTGTCCTCTGTCTTTTGTGTCTGAGCTTCTATAACAAGCCTCCTTGGGTTGTTATGGAGAGCAGAAATGGATGAGAAATCCATACAATGCAAGGACATCAGAAAATCAGTATCTCTGATAAGATTCAGGATTTTCTGACTTACGTCTGATTTGACCAAGGCATTCTCATCCTATATCTGATTCTATTATATAAGTCACAGTAAATGCGTGTTGGATATTCAAGTTAATATAACTTTTCCTTGAAGTCCAAGTCAACAGTAAATCAGCAACCACGTGGCAGGTGGCAAGTGGTAATGATCTCGCTCCATTGAGACTCTTGGTGCAGCAGATGAGTGTGCGTGTGTTTGTGACTGGAAAGCGCCCATATCCCGCCAGCCTGCATGCCAACTTGGCCAACTCTCAGTGACCAGGGCATTCAAGGGTGGCACTGTAGCACATATACCGGTACTAAGGATAGACGAGGAAGAGGAAGAGGGCGATATGTCCCTTAACTCTGTTCCATAGCTTCCTGGTACAGGCGGGGTAGTGTTGTTTACCTAAACCCTATGTAATCCCTTTACCGCTGGCTACTTCCTGTAAATCTCCACTCTGATCGCTTTGGCTTTCTGACACTCTCCCTCTCTCGTTAACACAGATTTATCATCCTCTCTGTCGCTTTCTCTCTTTTTCTTCCTCACTCACCTGTCTGTGCCGACGTAGTGATGGATAGCAATAAAGTTGAAGCTCATCAGCTTCTTTCCAAAATGAATATGGCCCAGTGTCGTCTTTCAGCTCATGGCCTGATAGCTACAAACATAACCTATAGTTGTAGTTCATCAGACAGTAGCTCTCTGAGGTCAGAGTGGCTGTCACATTTATGACACTGGTTAAGGAGATGCTCTTCCTCTTGACACAGTTTAAACCAGGGATGGGCAACTGGCAGCCCCCCTTTTGTAGGCCCGAGGATCAATTCAATTTTGGGGGGAACACAGTAAGGGTCTCAACTTACTGTTGAGAGTTAGAATAGTAGAATACACAAGGTGCAAGTTCGAAATGAGGTTGTGCATCAGCAATTTATCTCTTGTTATGTCAGTCAATGTCAGTCACTCAATTAGCCCATGTCAGCTAAAATTTTTTATATTGGTAGTTAGTCTAGCCTGCTATCTAAACTTGTAGTAATCATGGTCGAATTACCGACTGGGGGACCCCATTGATTTTGTTAGTCACTCTCACTCAGATGTCATATTAAAAACTGCAAGCATCTCTCTCCACCCTATGGCAAAATGTGTCTATGACTAGGGTGGCTGGAGTCGTTAGCCATTTATAGGGCCTTCCTCTGACACCGCCTGTTATAGAGGTCCTGAATGGCAGGAAGCTTGGCCCTAGTGATGTACTGGGCCGTACGGACTACCCTCTGTAGTGCCTTGCGGTCGAAGGCCAAGCAGTTGCCATACCAGGCGGTGATGCAACCAGTCAGGATACTCTTGATGGTGCAGCTGTAGAACTTTTTGAGGATCTGAGGACCCATGCCAAATATTTTCAGTCTCCTGAGGGGGAATAGGCTTTGTCGTGCCCTCTTCACGACTGTTTTGGTGTGTTTGGACCATGATATTTTGTTGGTGATGTGGACACAAAGGAACTTGAAGCTCTCAACCTGCTCCGCTACAGCCCTGTCTATAAGAATGGGGGCATGTCGGCCCTCCTTTTCCTGTAGTCCACGATCATCTCCTTTGTCTTGATCACGTTGAGGGAGAGGTTGTTGTCCTGGCACCACACTTCCAGGTCTCTGACCTCCTCCCTATAGGCTGTCTCATCGTTGTCGGTGATCAGGCCTACCACGTTGTGTCGTCGGCAAACTTAATGATGGTGTTAGAGTCGTGCTTGGCCACGCAGTCATGGGTTAACAGGGAGTACAGGAGGGGACTAAGCATGCACCCCTGAGGGGCCCCCGTGTTGAGGATCAGCGTGGCAGATGTGTTGTTGCCTACCCTTACCACCTGGGGGCGGCCTGTCAGGAAGTCCAGGATCCAGTTGCAGAGGGAGGTGTTTAGTCCCAGGGTCCTTAGCATAGTAATGAGCTTTGAGGGCACTATGGTTTTGAACGCTGAGCTGTAGTCAATGAACAGCATTCTCACGTAGGTGTTCCTTTTGTCCAGGTGGGAAAGAGCAGTGTTGAGTGCAATAGAGATTGCGTCATCTGTGGATCTGTTGGGGCTGTATGCAAATTGGAGTGGGTCTGGGGTTTCTGGGATGATGGTGTTGATGTGAGCCATAACCAGCCTTTCAACGCACTTCATGGCTACAGACGTGAGTGCTACGGGTCAGTAGTCATTTAGGCAGGTTACCTTGGTGTTCTTGGGCACAGGGACTATGGTGGTCTGCTTGAAACATGTAATTATTACAGACTCGACCAGGGACAGGTTGAAAGTGTCATTGAAGATACTTGCCAGTTGGTCAGCGCATGCTCGGAGTACACGCATGCTCGGAGTCCTGGTAATCCGTATGGCCCTGCGGCCTTGTTAATGTTGACCTGTTTAAAGGTCTTGCTCACATCGGCTACGGTGAGCGTGATCACACAGTCGTCCGGAACAGCTGGTGCTCTCATGCATGCTTCAGTGTTGCTTGCCTCGAAGCGCGCATAGAAAACATTTAGCTCGTCTGGTAGGCTTGTGTAGAATTGCAGCAAACTTGCTTTAAAACGTCAACATTCTCGCTACGCTCCATGGCAAAATGTGTAGATTTGTAGGAAATTATCTGTAAAACTGCTAATTTTTCATTCCACCCCATGGCAAAATTAGTAGAATTGCATTAAATTTGGTATAAAATTGCAAAAAACTTAGGGCCCCTAAAAGGCTAGGGCCGGCTGACTGCATGTGTGGGTATGGATGTGAGTACGCAGAACCGTGAGCCACTGCGACCCATCATGATGAGTTCAGATTTTTTGTGGCCCCCACCCACATCCAAGTTGCCCATCCCTGATTTAGACAATGAGACCCCATGGGGCCCACTACTGTAAAATGAATGAAGGTGTCTACGTTGCCTGTGAGTTGGCGCTAGCTCCATTGAATGAAGGTGTGGTCATTCCACAAAAAGAGTGCCTTTTATGTTCTTGTGACATTATGTGAGTACATTTATGAGATAAAACACTCAATTTAACAGTTGGATCACATACATCTACACTCTAACTGACTAACTAAACCATTCATTTTTTATATTTTTGTTTCTCCCAAAGAAACATAGAACATATAATAGTCAAATCATAGTGTAAAAAACAGGTGAGCTGATTCTACTCTTTTTGGCCATTTCCTGTTGTTTTGTGGTTGAAAACTGAGTGTGTCAAGCATACCACGTCAACCCTGTTACCCATAGATAGATAGGCTAGAAATGTTTTGACAAGTGCAAATGTTATGTTATGCTTGCATTTAATTGCCCCTTCCTGTTGCACCCAACAAGCTTATATTCCCCCTGTCACAAGGGGAGTTATGGCTAATTTAAGATGACATTTTCAAGCCTGTTATGGTCAACCCTGTCACTTTAATTGTCACTTTTATAGTCATATTTCCTAATTTTAACCTCTTGAGTTGGGAAAACATGTTTGTTATGAAGTTGAACATGTGCTCTTTATGACATAGGGTTAAAATTAGGTGAAATAAATAGTTATTTTTGCCAAAATTACCCTACCCAAAAGGCACTCTATTCATGGTATTACACTGATGTGGAGAGAAGTAGTGGTCAGAGAAGGGGGATAAGCAGTTAGAGGGATAGAGGAGTAGTCTTTGGAAAATGCTTTGTGTGTTTGTGTGTATGTGTGCGTGTGCTTTCATGTGTGTGTTTGGCATGCCAAGTCTCAAATGTATTCCCTTTTGTTCTGTCAAGTCCTATTTGAGCCCCACACATGCACACTCTCTCTCCCACTGTTACCATAAGGCAAATCCTTACTTCAATCTGTCACTCTTAGCTACCCTCTTCCTCTTGAGTGCATTGTCCTCCTTCTTTCTATGCAGCTTCTCAGAGTAACATGTACCTCTATGTCTGCAGGAGTGTACAGTATTCTATAGGGATTATGGATGACCTTTCTAGGTTATCTGAGGCAAAGCTGTTCACCCTTTATTGTACTACTGCTACTCTCACTCATTCGCCTCCTTACTATCTTATTCAGTCATTCACTACCTCAGTTCTTTACTCTTACACTCAATCCCCCAGTCAGTGCTTCACTCATTCATAGACAATAGCTGTTCTCCATGTGTAACACACATGATCAGAAAAGTATGACTTCTCACTACCTACATCATACTTATTTCTCTCTGTCCCTCCCTCCCTCTTTTACAGGTATGGTGACTAGAGATTTGCTGGAAGCGACCTATGGGCCTGTTGGTCCCCTGTTTGTCCACAATGTCCTGATTCTTACTGAATAGGAAAGAAGATATCCTCAAGACACACTGACACCCCCATCAGCAGATAAACAACAAACAAGGCCAGTCTCTCTCTTCTTTATCACTCTCTATCTTCCTGGCTGTGACGTGATGTGCAGAGTGTGAGGTCATGTCCCAGTCTGGAAAAGTCATTCATCTGTATGTGGAGGTGAGGTCAGCCCCGGACCAGGATGAGAAGGGGGGCTTGGGAGGAGGAGTGGAGGGGCTTGGGACTGGGAGTGACTCAGCCTCAGCACAGGATGGGCCAGCGGGGATTTTGTCCCAGCTAGCCTACCAGACAAAATGCCAGACTCCTACCAAAGCTCCAACACGCCGCCTGGCCCATAACTTCACCCACACCCAGTCTCCCTCCAGACACACAGTGAGCTTCCAGCTCCACCAAGGAAATGGCACCCAATCGCCTAGCATCTCCCAGCAGCAGAGTTTACCAGCAGCACTGACCCACTCCCCAGCCTTTTCCGGGACTGGAAAGACCACCACCCCACACACACACCCCTCCAAAGGGCAGGGGGTGGGGGGCAATTGCAAACGGTCAGTGGTCACCTTCAGCTACATTGAGAAGGCTAACGTCAAGACAGTGGAGAGCCCACAGAACTCAGCCTCTCAGAGGAGGTCTAGGGAGGAGAGGTCGTCCCCACCTTCCCACCCCCGGAATAAACTCAACGACCCCATCTGGTTGGGTAGTCCTGGCTCCTCATGCAGCTCCAGTCCCAAAATAGTGTTTCGTCCCCCTGGGCGTCACCAGCAGCAACCGTCAGGTTCCCCAAGCCTCCGGCACCCTGTCTTGGATCCCGTCGGTATGGCGGCCACCCAGAGTGCCCTGGAAAAGTTTGGGTTTGGTTCCCCCCTGCTCAGGAGTAAGACCATCCATGGGCTCGAGCAGAGTCCCAGGGGCTCCCGCCACAACCAGCAGGCCCGCTGCCTGTCCTGGGCAGGCGGTTCTCCTGTCCAGCACCACAGCATCTGCAATAATCTCCGCAATAATCACGCTGTGGATGCAGATAGAAACCGGACCATTTGCGGGCCATTACCCAGGAGCTCAGCCTCCGACCTGCTTTCGTCCAATGCTAGGCAGGCCGCTCTGGGCATGTCTCCTAACTCAAGACCCAGGTCGTGCATGGGGCTCCAGGCCCAGAGCCCACACCACTGGGCAGGTCAGGACAAAGCTTTAGCAGGTAGTCCAGCCACCCAGAGACAAGTGCACAAGCCCTCTATCAGCAGTTCCTCCTCTCAAGGGACCATCCTCCAAGTTGAAAATAAACTAGGGGAGGGGACTGTACTGAACCAGCTAAGTTGTAGCAAACCCTCCTCCCCAGCCAACAGCCCTGAAGTGGCCCGGAGGCTAGCCGAGGAGGCTACTAAAGTATCCTCTATTTTAGCAGAGGTAAAGAGGAACTCATTGACATTGCACAACACTTTAGACAAAGTAGAGAGCCCCAACTCTGGATGTATGTCTGGAGAAGCCAACAGTTCTGTCCCAAATGCACAACGGCAACATTTGCAGCATCAGACAGTTAAGATGAATATCCCTTTACATGGCCCACACACACCGGCATCGAATGACACTGACTCTCACCAGGCTGGAAACTCTTTACCATCGTCACGCACACAGGACACAAACTCTCCAACACTAACCAATCACAGCACACAACATGGAAAAGGGCAGGCTCTGGCTCAGAGCTCCATTCTATCAGACACAGTAGTGAGTGTTGGAGGGTCCCCGGCCCTGCCTTCACGCTTCATCCGTCCATCTCTTCCCCCAGCCGAGACCAGCTCCCCTCTGAGAGACCCCAGGCTGCTGAGAGCCCAGCTCAGAGTCACCGACAGCCCCACACTGCATCACTGCCGGCCCCCTCAGTACACTAGAGATTTCTGGTCCTTCGAGCCGGACGAGAGAGCCGACTTCTCCTGCTTCGACAGGGGGGATAGTGCCGAGCTGGCCCGTAGACTCTACATACGCCAAAGTGTGGTAGAAGCCCCTGTCAGCTGGACCTCCATGCAGCCCTGGAGCCACCTGGTGGGGGAGGAGAGCAGAAACTCCAGTTCCAGCCCCAGGCACGGACCTGGAACCGGGCAGCCCCTAAGCGTGGCCCAGCAGAAGACGGCCGAGCATAGGAGGAGGGAGGTTCTGCTGCTGGGCCCTGTGGTGCTTGACTCGCCAGAGGAGGATGAGGGCCTGGATGGGGATGGGGAAGAGGTTTACAGACCAGGGAAACAGCGAGGCCTGCTGAGAGTGGAGGAGCCTCCAGAGGGGGAGCAAATAGGGGTAGCAGGGTCCTCGTCGCACAGCTCCAGCGGGGTGACGGGCAGCCTGGGGGAAAGGGACTGTGTGTCCCCAGAGTCCAGTCAGTCCAGCCACCAGAGCAACGAGACAGGGGCTGCCACCTCAGGGATACAGGTGAGACATTCTTCTTCATATATGTTGCATTAAAATATTCATTTTAATATATTGATGTTAACTAAATGTATCATGTATTTTGTTAATTTTGCCACGCGTGTGACTGTAAAAGAGTGCCACCAACCAATAGAGGTGCCGGTATAGATATAGGTGCAACTGTCCCAGTGCCCCGGTTAAAGGACGTAAATGGGCTTCCGAGTGGCGCAGCGGTCTAAGGCATTGCATCTCAGTGCTAGAGGCGTCACTGGTTTGATTCTAGGCTGTATCACAATCCGGCCGTGATTGGGAGTGTCATAGGGCGGCGCACAATTGGCCCAGCGTCGTCCGGGTTTGGCCGGGGTAGGCCGTCATTGTAAATAAGAATGTGTTCTTAACTGACTTGCCTAGTTAAATAAAGGTTAAAAAATGACCGGTAGGAGACAGATGTACAGAACACACGTTTATTACCACACACCAAACAAGGAGGATAGACAACTGGAATTGTTATAGTGTATAGAGGTTTTATGGTCATTCACGCACTAACAGACAGTTAGGCTATCCAGGGTGGAGGCTTGTCCTTGTAGGAAGGGTTCAGTGGTGAGTTGTGTTGAGGTGGTGCAGAGTTCTTCTGATCTGTTGTCTCTGCACCCCTGTGTCCAACTAAAGAACAGGCAGGAAAAGGGGTCTGTTACCCCACCTAATAGGGCCTGTGGCAACCTGGTCCCTAACACAGAGGTGTGAAGTGCACTATGCCACTGAACAATGGGTCAGGCTGAGGCAGAGGATGATAGCTTCCTCAGCAGTAAAAGGCTACAAAGCTTGTGTCTCTCCCAGGGCTAGAGAGGGGTTAAGGAGAGAGGGTTTTTAACAGTGCCTTTTGTGCATGTGTACATGTCTGTATGTGTGTTCCAGACGGACAGTGGCTCTGCAGTCCCAGGCCCCTCCCTCCACTCCCAGAGGATAGCTCGTGCCAAGTGGGAGTTCCTATTTGGGACCCCCGCTGAGGAGGCTGCCAGTAGGGGGGAGAAAAGTGAGAGCTCTGCATAGTTACCACCTATACTTATTACCCATAGAGAAAGATACAGTATTAGCTGTATACAGTATTTATCTCTATGACTGTGTCTATGGCTCTTTAACTGTACAGGATGAAATTAGCCCGCCCAACTACCTCATCCCTATATTGTTATTTATTTTGCTCATTTGTACCCCAGTATCTCTATTTGCACATCATCTCTTGCACATCTATCATTCCAGTGTTAATACTAATTGTAATTATTTTGCACTATAGCCTATTTATTGCCTTACCTCCATAACTTGCTACATTTGCACACACTGTATATATATTTATTTCTGTTGTATTTTTGACTTTGTTTTGTTTTACCCCATATGTAACTCTGTGTTGTTGTTTTTATCGCACTGCTTTGCTTTATCTTGGCCAGGTCGCAGTTGTAAATGAGAACTTGTTCTCAACTGGCTTACCTGGTTAAATAAAGGTGAAATAAATAAAAAGAAATAAATAAAAGGATAGACCAGTGCTATTCAAAGTCAGGGTTGTGACCCCTAGTGGGCTTGTGGGGAACTGCAGTTGTGTCGCAAAATACAACATGTTGATTTAGGAGTACATATTATTGAATGGGACAATAAACGTTTTTGGGAAAGATAATTAGACAAATTAAATTGTATTAAGTAAATGTGTTATTTGTTTATTTTCATTTCGATAAGAGATTAAAATGCAATGAATTTATGGTTATTTGTTGATGTAAAAATCGAAATGTACCGATTTTAAGGTTGTGTCATTAGATTTGGGTAGGGTGGGTTCGCGAGAAATTCTTGGGGAAAAATGGGGTCCCCGCTGAAAAAGTTTGAATACCACTGGGGTAGACACTGTACTGTACATGTGAGTCAAGTGACATGTAACGTATCATAACATGTGTTCAAAACATGCACAGAGGTCAGTGTTCAGCAACCTTACAACAACATTAGCATTAGCATGGCAGCACAGTAATTTTCCGGACCTTTTCAGTGATATCAACTGCTTCTTCTGTTCCATCATGGCAGATACCATCGAGGCCGCCACAGCTCCTCCTAGTGGCCAGTCCAGTGAATCCCCAACCCCCACGCCCCCCACCTCCCTCCCCCTCATCTCGGCTAATCATGAGGTGCAGCACGTGGAGGTGGAGCTGGTGACTCCTCCCCCAGCGGTGGCGGGGGCGTCGCCCAAGACGGGCATCATCCGGAGGACCCTCAAGTACTCGGAGACTGACCTGGACGCTGTGCCCATGCGCTGCTACCGCGAGACCGACATCGATGACGTGCTTTTGGCTGAGCAGGAGGACGCCGACTCAGCATTTGGGAGTAACCGTAGCGTGAAAAGCACGTCGGGTACAGGCAGCAGCCCCCTGGGTGTCTGTCCCGATGAGAGCACAAGCGCGGAGGAGGAGGAGGTTGAAGGAGAGGAGGAGGAAGAAGAGGAGCTGGAGGAGGAGGAGGAGGAGGTAGTGAGCTGGGCCTCAGTGAGGATGCAGGGGGACATTAAGAGACAGCAGCAGCAGCAGGTGATTAGTCAGCTGCTGAAGAGGTGAGATGGGCATAGACGTACAATACCAGTCAAAGGTTTGGACACACCTACTCATTCCAGGGTTTTTCTTTATTTTTCCTATTTTCTACATTGTAGAATACAGGCCTCCTGTAGCTCAGTTGGTAGAGCATGGCACTTGCAACGCCAGGGTTGTGGGTTTGTTTCCCACGGGGGGCCAGTATGGAAAATGTATGCACTCACTAACTGTAAGTCGCTCTGGATAAGAGCGTCTGCTAAATGACTAAAACTGTGAAATAACACATAAGGAATCATGTAGTAACCAAAAAAGTGTTAAACAAATCAAAATATATTTTATATTTGAGATTCTTCAAATAGCCGCCCCTTTCCTTGATGACAGCTTTGCACACTCTTGGCATTCTCTCAACCAGGTAGTCACCTGGAATGCATTTCAATTAACAGGTGCCTTATTAAAAGTTAATTTGTGGAATTTCTTTCATTCTTCATGCGTTTGAGCCAATCAGTGGTGTTGTGACAAGGTAGGGGGGGTATACAGAAGATAGCCCTATTTGGTAAAAGACCAAGTCCATATTATGGCAAGAACAGCTCAAATAAGCAAAGAGAAACGACAGTCCATCATTACTTTAAGACATAAAGGTCAGTCAATACGGAACATTTCAAGAACTGAAAGTTTCTTCAAGTGCATTCGCAAAAACCATCAAGTGCTATGATGAAACTGGCTCTCATGAGGACCGCCACAGGAATGGAAGACCCAGAGTTACCTCTGCTGCAGAGGATAAGTACATTACTAGCCTCAGAAATTGCATCCCAAATAAATGCTTCACACTGTTCAAATAACAGACACATCTCAACATCAACTGTTCAGAGGGGACTGTGTGAATCAGGTCTTCATGGTCGAATTGCTGCAAAGAAACCACTACTAAAGGACACCAATAAGAAGAAGAGACCTGCTTGGGCCAAGAAACACGAGCAATGGACATTAGACAGGTGGAAATTTGTCCTTTGGTCTCGAGTCCAAATTGTAGATTTCTGGTTCCAACCGCTGTTTCTTTGTGAGACACGGTGTGGGTGAACGGATGATCTCTGCATGTGTATTCCCCACCGTAAAGCATGGAGGAGGAGGTGTTACGGTGTGGGGGTGCTTTGCTGGTGACACTGTCTGTGATTTATTTAGAATTCAAGGCACACTTAACCAGCATGACTGCCACAGCATTCTACAGTGATATGCCATCCCATCTGGTTTGGGCTTAGTGTGACTATCATTTGTTTTTCAACAATTACCCAACACACCTCCAGGCCTTGTAAGGGCTATTTGACCAAGAAGGAGAGTGATGGAGTGCTGCATCAGATGACCTGGCCTCCACAATCCCCCGACCTCAACCCAATTGAGATGGTTTGGGATGAGTCGGACCGCAGAGTGAAGGAATAGCAGCCAACAAGTGCTCAGCATAGAGAGTTGGAAAAGTATTCCAGGTGAAGCTGGTTGAGAGAATGCCAAGAGTGTGCAAAGCTGTCATCAAGGCAAGGGAGTGGCTATTTGAAGAATCTCAAATATAAAATATATTTTGATTTGTTTAACACTTTTTTGGTTAATACATGATTCCATATGTGTTATTTCATAGTTCTGATGTCTTCATTATTATTCTACAATGTTGAAAATAGTAAAAATGAAGAAAAACCCTTGAATGAGTAGGTGTGTCCAAACTTTTGACTGGTAGTGTAAAGGCACGTAGAAACACACACATGCACAAATGCATACACACACGTGCACGCTCGCACACACACATTCCTAAAAATATACTTTTAAAATATGCTTACACACACACACACACATACACATAAACATACACACTTATGTAATGCAGAGACACAGAAACACACAGCTCACACATTTAAAGTTTGACAGGATTTGTATTACAGACTGCTATAAGTGCTATCTATTTCTAGCATCTGTCCTTGTGAATAGAACAAAGGTGCTTTGAAATAAGATATTAATCAATGTTTCAGTTGACGTCATCATTTTTCTCCCACAAGAACACTGGTGAAGAAAGGATCTGGCAAGAACTACAGTAGTATATGATAGTGTGTCTCTTTCTGCTACTACCTTATGTTGTATGTCTCTTTCCCGCTACCTGATATCTTCCAAGCAACCTACTTAACAATAGACCTTTCAAACCAGTTTGATGAAATGTTTTGCTTTAGCATTCACAGTTTTCTAGGGTCAAACAGTTACAGTATACAGTGTGCCATATTCAGTCACTACACTAATAATGCAATGACATCTTTCAGCTGAGATCATTCCCAGAGTCACTCTCAAAGGAATTAATTTGAGATTCATTCATTCGGAAAATTAGACCGTACTAAGAGACCTAGTAGAGTCTTCCTGTGTCTCACTCTTGGTCTCTCTCCTCCTTTCCGTCTTTCTCTCTCTACCTCTAGGCCGTTGGACAGTTTCTTTGACAACCTCCCGGCCCTCAAGTCACCCATCCTGGTGTCGGGGCCTCGCCTCGCAGGCACCTCCGAGGACAGCTTCAGCCGCCATTTTGAGAGCATCATGGAGTCACACCGCGCCAAGGGCACGTCCTACGGCAGCCTGGACCTGGACAGTGAGGAGCTGCTGACCTCCAGCACCCAGACCATCCTGACCTTTGACCTCCCCACGCTGACCCCAGAGATCCAGGGGGGTCAGATGATCTGTCAGAGCGCCCGGCAGATTGTCAAGCTGAGCTTCGCCCCACTGGCCCACTGCGAGAGGGGGACAAGCCTATCGGATTCCATCGTCACAGTGACAGGAGACTCGGACGCCACGCGTGCCCCCTCCAGCGAAAGGCTGAGCAGTAGCCCGGATGACACGCCCCTGCGAGGGGGAGGGGGCAGGGCACGGATGCTGGGGAGCAGCTGGTACAGCAACCCCACATTCTCCTTCCCTAGGTCAGTGATGTCATACAGCAGCAACCCCTCCCTCTCTTTCCACAGGTCAGTGATGTCATCATTACTGTTCTGATGTATTACTCTATGAAAGACCTGATAGGCTGCTGACATACAGTATGAGGTTATTCTTATAGATGAAGTAAAGCCATGGTAGTCTCCCATTCCGAACATACAGTATGGTATAATCTGAGATTAAATGAAAAACAAATAATCACTATATTATAATGTATTGTCTATGTACAATATTAGAGAAAAACGTGATAAATGATGATCATATTGTGCATAAGTAATGTACTGCGTATATACATTGAAAATATACTTTTTTAGTGTCATCCCCCAACTTTGAACCAATGTCAGTTTCCAGACACCCCAGTCCTAGGCTTGTCTGCTGGGACAAATCACCTGCTGCAGTGCGATTTTGAAGCAGAGCTGTTAGTGAAGGTCGTTAGGAGGCTGCCTGCCTCACAGTACCACAGGTTTCCATGGCATTCTGTGTGTGTGTGTGTGTGTGTGTGTGTGTGTGTGTGTGTGTGTGTATGTGTGTGTGTGTGTGATGGCTGGAGCAGGTGACTGGTACTGACTGAGGCAGAGGGCTCTGGCAGCACAGCTCTCACCTTCAACCATCAGCTCCTTAAACATCTTAACTACTTATAATATCAAAGTGATTAGGCTAGCTGTGCTATTACTGTTAATAACAGCATAGCTGGAACGCACTCTTTACTAATCAGATTGCGTGGCCAGATCTATCCATTATAGAAGTATTCATATGATGTATTATCATATATTAGGATATATGCAAATGCTAGAATATTGTAATTTTACATAAAGATATTCTTATTTCCCATGTGGTCAATATACACTTCTGGTTGTTCATTTTTTAATTTTCATCATTCATCAACACCATGATAACAGAGAATTATGCTAGGGGTTTAGAACACAGCATCATGTCAGTCGTTGCAAACCTTAGAGAGCTATTTATAACTTGTCAGAAATTCTGAGGCCTGCACCTGACCATAATCTTCTAATATAGAAAATGCACTGTAGGCTACAGTCAGAGATGACGGAACGATTTAGATACAGTGGGGAGAACAAGTATTTGATACACTGCCGATTTTGCAGGTTTTCCTACTTACAAAGCATGTAGAGGTCTGTAATTTTTATCATAGGTACACTTCAACTGTGAGAGACGGAATCTAAAACAAAACTCCAGAAAATCACATTGTATGATTTTTAAGTAATTCATTTGCATTTTATTGCATGACATAAGTATTTGATACATCAAAAAAGCAGAACTTAATATTTGGTACAGAAACCTTTGTTTGCAATTACAGAGATCATATGTTTCCTGTAGGTCTTGACCAGGTTTGCACACACTGCAGCAGGGATTTTGGCCCACTCCTCCATAAAGGCCTTCTCCAGATCCTTCAGGTTTCGGGGCTGTCGCTGGGTAATACAGACTTTCAGCTCCCTCCAAAGATTTTATATTGGGTTCAGGTCTGGAGACTGGCTAGGCCACTCCAGAACCTTGAGATGCTTCTTACGGAGCCACTCCTTAGTTGCCCTGGCTGTGTGTTCCGGGTCGTTGTCATGCTGGAAGACCCAGCCACGACCCATCTTCAATGCTCTTACTGAGGGAAGGAGGTTGTTGGCCAAGATCTCGCGATACATGGCCCCATCCATCCTCCCCTCAATACGGTGCAGTCGTCCTGTCCCCTTTGCAGAAAAGCATCACCAAAGAATGATGTTTCCACCTCCATGCTTCACGGTTGGGATGGTGTTCTTGGGGTTGTACTCATCCTTCTTCTTCCTCCAAACACGGCGAGTGGAGTTTAGACCAAAAAGCTCTATTTTTGTCTCATCAGACCACATGACCTTCTCCCATTCCTCCTCTGGATCATCCAGATGGTCATTGGCAAACTTCAGATGGGCCTGGACATGCGCTGGCTTGAGCAGGGGGACCTTGCGTGCGCTGCAGGATTTTAATCCATGACGGCGTAGTGTGTTACTAATGGTTTTCTTTGAGACTGTGGTCCCAGCTCTCTTCAGGTCATTGACCAGGTCCTACCGTGTAGTTCTGGGCTGATCCCTCACCTTCCTCATGATCATTGATGCCCCACGACGTGAGATCTTGCATGGAGCACCAGACCGAGGGTGATTGACCGTCATCTTGAACTTCTTCCATCTTCTAATAATTGCGCCAACAGTTGTTGCCTTCTCACCAAGCTGCTTGCCTATTGTCCTGTAGCCCATCCCAGCCTTGTGCAGGTCTACAATTTTATCCCTAATGTCCTTACACAGCTCTCTGGTCTTGGCCATTGTGGAGAGGTTGGAGTCTGTTTGATTGAGTGTGTGGACAGGTGTCTTTTATACAGGTAACGAGTTCAAACAGGTGCAGTTAATACAAGTAATGAGTGGAGAACAGCAGGGCTTCTTAAAGAAAAACTAACAGGTCTGTGAGAGCCGGAATTTTTACTCGTTGGTAGGTGATCAAATACTTATGTCATGCAATAAAATGCAAATTAATTACTTAAAAATCATACAATGTGATTTTCTGGATTTTTGTTTTAGATTCCGTCTCTCACAGTTGAAGTGTACCTTTGATAAAAAATTACAGACCTCTACATGCTTTGTAAGTAGGAAAACCTGCAAAATCGGCAGTGTATCAAATACTTGTTCTCCCCACTGTATGTTTCTGCTTATAATTTCCAACATTTTGGTAGGCTATTTATGAGTCAACTTGTCTATAATTAGATACAGTACATGCAGCTTCTCTTCTGTCATTATATGTTGCCCTAGAAGACTAAATAAACCCTTGCTCATCAGAATAATGTCATAAATCGATGGAATGAATGCTTCAATCTAAATTACATCTGTAAATTTTTATCTGTCATCTCTGCTTCTTTCAGGGATCAAATATGTTTAGGGACTCAACCTGGTCTCAGAGCATTTTGTATTATTCTGTACGTAAATCTGTACACTCCATTTAGTATGATATGTTATGTTGCGTATGGTATGTATTAATTTGTGGATGTCCATCACCCATTTCATATGATAGATTACGATTTCCCAAACATATCATACAGTTGAAGTCGAAAGTTTACATACACTTAGGTTGGAGTTATTAAAACTCGTTTTTCAACCACTCCACAAATGTCTTGTTAACTGTCACGATCGTCGAAGGAGGAGGACCAAGGCGCAGCGTTGAAGTTGAACATGCTTTTTTAATAATAGTGATTACACGAACAAAAACAACAAACTATAATGTGACGTCCACGGTCTAACACAAACCACACTGGAACAAGATCCCACAACCACTGTGGGAAAACAGCCTGTCTAAATATGGTTCCCAATCAGAGACAACCAGCAACAGCTGACACTCGTTGCCTCTGATTGAGAACCACTCTGGCCAACATAGAAATACAACAACTAGAATACACAAAGGAAACTCACACCCTGGCTCAACATACAAGTGTCCCCAGAGCCAGGGCGTGACAGTACCCCCCCCCTAAAGGCGCGGACTCCGACCGCGCCAACCAAATACCACAGGGGAGGGACCCGGTGGGCACTCCGCCTTGGCGGCGGATCCGGCTCCGGGCATGATCCCCACTCCCTCTCTAACCCCCCAAAGTACCCCTGGTCCGGTCCTGCTGACCGGAGCTGAACTGAACACTGGTGGAGCGGATTGCTCTAGCTCCGGCGTGAAGCAGCTGACCGGTGCCGGACCAGGCACCGGTGGAACAGGCACGGGCCGTGCCGGACTGACGACGCACACCACTGGCTTGGTGTGGGGAGCAGGAACGGGCCGGACCGGGCTGGCGACGCTCACCATAGGCTTGGTGCGGGGAGCAGGAGCGGGCCGGACCGGGCTGGCGACGCGCACCTTTGGCTTGGTGCGGGGAGCAGGAACAGGCCGGGCCGGGCTGGCGACGCGCACCATAGGCTTGGTGCGGGGAGCAGGAACAGGCCGGGCCGGGCTGGCAACGCGCACCATTGGCTTGGTGCGGGGAGCAGGAGCAGGAGCGGGCCGGGCCGGACCGGGCTGACGAAGCGCACCACTGACTTGGTGCGGAGAGCAGGAATGGACCGGACTGGGCTGGTGACGCGCACCACAGGCTCGGTGCAAGGGACAGGAACAGACCGGACCGTACTGGGGACACACACCACTGGCCCTACGCAAGGATCAGGAACGGGCCGGACCGGACTGGTAACACACCCCAGTACCTCTCGCCGTGCCTCTACACCTTCCTTCCCCTTTTTGACCAGTGGCCCCCGTAACCTGGCGGCCTCCTCTGCCAACCCGCTGGGCCACTCTATCGCGGTCTCCTGCTGCCCCGTCGTCCACGGCGTGAGCCCCCCCCCTAAAAATTTTCTGGGCTTCTCTCCTACCCGTGGACCAGGTCTCCATATCTCTCGTCAGCCTTTCGCCCTTCTGCTTCCAAGTCAAGCCTCTCTCTTCCTCACACGGCTTGACCCAATCGAGGAGGCGAAGGAAATCCGCTAGAGATCTCCCTGGCGATGGCTCCTGGACACGCTGCTTGGTCCAGTCTTGGTGGGATCTTCTGTCACGATCGTCGAAGGAGGAGGACCAAGGCGCAGCGTTGAAGGTGAACATGCTTTTTTAATAATAGTGATTACACAAACAAAAACAACAAACGATAACGTGACGTCCACGGTCTAACACAAACCACACTGGAACAAGATCCCACAACCACTGTGGGAAAACAGCCTGTCTAAATATGGTTCCCAATCAGAGACAACCAGCAACAGCTGACACTCGTTGCCTCTGATTGAGAACCACTCTGGCCAACATAGAAATACAACAACTAGAATACACAAAGGAAACTCACACCCTGGCTCAACATACAAGTGTCCCCAGAGCCAGGGCGTGACATTAACAAACTATAGTTTTGGAAGTCGGTTAGGACATCTGCTTTGTGCATGACACAAGTAATTTTTCCAACAATTGTTTACAGACAGATTATTTCACTTATAATTCACTGTATCACAATTCCAGTGGGTCAGAAGTTTACATACACTAAGTTGACTGTGCCTTTAAACAGCTTGGAAATTTCAGAAAATTATGTCATGGCTTTAGAAGCTTCTGATCGGCTAATTGACATCATTTGAGTCAATTGGAGGTGTACCTGTGGATGTATTTCAAGGCCTACCTTCGAACTCAGTGCCTCTTTGCTTACATCATGGGAAAGTCAAAAGAAATCAGCCAAGACCTCAGAAAAAATATTGTAGACCTCCACAAGTCTGGTTCATCCTTGGGAGCAATTTCCAAACGCCTGAAGGTACCACGTTCATCTTTACAAACAATAGTATGCAAGTATAAACACCATGGGACCACGCAGCCGTCATACCGCTCAGGAAGGAGATGCTTTCATACTTTGGTGCGAAAAGTGCAAATCAATCCCAGAACAACAGCAAAGGACCTTGTGAAGATGCTGGAGGAAACAGGTACAAAAGTATCTATATCTACAGTAAAACGAGTCCTATATCGACATAACCTGAAAGGCCGCTCAGCAAGGAAGAAGCCACTGCTCCAAAACCACCATAAAAAAGTCAGACTACGGTTTGCAACTGCACATGGGGACAAAGATCGTACTTTTTGGAGAAATGTACTCTGGACTGATGAACAAAAATAGAACTGTTTGGCCAAAATGACCATTGTTATGTTTGGAGGAAAAAGGGGGTGGCTTGCAAGCCGAAGAACACCACCCCAACCGTGAAGCACGGGGGTGGCAGCATCATGCTGTGGAGGTGCTTTGCTGCGGGAGGGACTGGTGCACTTCACAAAATAGATGGCATGATGAGGAAGGAAAATTATGTGGATATATTGAAGCATCATCTCAAGACATCAGTTAGGAAGTTAAAGCTTGGTCGCAAATGGGCCTTCAAAATGGACAATGACCCCAAGCATACTTCCAAAGTTGTGGCAAAATGGCTTAATGACAACAAAGCCATCACAAAGTCCTGACCTCAATCCTATAGAGAATTTGTGGGCAGAACTGAAAAAGCATGTGCGAGCAAGGAGGCCTACAAACCTGACTCAGTTACACCAGCTCTGTCAGGAGGAATGGGCCAAAATTCACCCAACTTATTGTGGGAAGCTTGTGGAAGGCTACCCGAAATGTTTGATCCAAGTTAAACAATTTAAAGGCAATGCTACCAAATACTAATTGAGTGTATGTAAACTTCTGACCCACTGGGAATGTGATGAAAGAAATTAAAAGCTGAAATAAATTATTCTCTCTACTATTATTCTGACATTTCACATTCTTAAAATACAGTGGTGATCCTAACTGACCTAAGACAAGGAATTTTTACTAGGATTAAATGTCAGGAATTGTGAAAAACTGAGTTTAAATGTATTTGGCTAAGGTGTATGTAAACTTCCGACTTCAACTGTATGTTATCAATTCTAGCTAGTTGGCTAACATTAGCTAGCTCGCTAACGTTAGCTAGGCTAAGGGTTAGGGTTAAGGTTAGGAGTTAGGTTAAAGGATTAAGGTTAGGGGAAGGGTTAGGTAAAAGGGTTAAGGTTAGGGTTAGGTGAAGGGTTAGCTAAAAGGGTTAAGGTTAGGGTTAGGGTTAGCTAGCATGCTAAGAATACTCAACAAAAATATAAAGTGTAAAGTGTTGGTGTTGGTAAAGTGAATCTCACCAGAGAAATCATCTGAGTGAGGGAAATCTGTCTCCGTGTGTGTAGCCCATGTATCTGATGCTGTCTGGAACAAAAGAGTATGACATGTTGCCGCAGTAGCGTTTGATTTATTGATGCCAGCAAGCATTTGATAAAAACGTTATAAAATAATTAGCCAATCAGCGTTGAGCTGAGCTCAACTGTGGACTGTCCTGGCGCAGGACAACCCAGTTTGGATTTGGGTGGCCAGTTTGGATTTGGCTTCACACAAATCGCATCCTGAGCAAAATGTCATCATTGTCAGAAAAACGTGTCTGTTTCTGGTATGCTTGTGTTGATGTCCTGCAGTAGCTAGCTTGCTCAATTGGCCCTTTCCTAAGCTATGGATGGAGATGGGGATTTGGACTTGTGCCTTTGACTTAATTCTCTGTACAGGCCAATGGATATGATGGTGATTCTGATCTAACCATAAATTAATATATTGTGCCACTGGCCCGAGACGATTGAAGTTCAATATGTAGCCTAGATGTAGCCTAGTAGGCTCACGTTAACTAGCTAGCTAACTTAACTGGTTGCCCATGCGAGGAAGTTCGGCTAGCAAGCGTTTTAGCTAGGTAGCCTATTAAAACAAAAACTTAAAGGTTACAGAGCCATAGACTGTTTTGACAACATGAAAGAGAGGAGGTCGGCATTGGCGTTTAACTAGTCTACAAGTAGGATGAGTCCCCCAAAAATGTTTTATTTGTGCGTGCACGCAAGCACGCACGCACACACACACACACACACACAGACAGACAGACAAAAATCCGTACCATGGACAGCCACATTATATTTAGCAACATTGATTGGACTAAATTGTGTTTGGTATCTTTAAGTTTGTTTTCACTGTATTAAACTAAGCATTAACTTGCTTGACCATGCTGCAGGTCATATAAATGTTTGTTACATGCAATATTTGCTTTGTGGACTCCACCGGACAGATGTTGCTCTCCGGTTTTGTGATGAAACAAAAGTATGTGTAGTTGAATTAATTCCGCCACTGTGACTGTTGTCATTTTGCTGTCACAGCCTTATTGTATATCACGGTGGCATATGAACGAATGGGTTATAGAGCAAACAACGCAAATATCACAACATAGTTTGTAATATGGCTTTTTTTTTTATGGCTTTGGCTTCCCCAGTGATGTTACCCACACACCGCTACTGTCTATTCTATGCGTCTGGTAAATATTTACATTGTGCTGGTATTGCTACCACAGTTACTATACATGACTGACCAAACTATCACAATCCTGTAAGAATGGAATCCAGGAAGAGGACAACATGGAAAATATTTCAGAGGGCTTGTCCACTCAATACTGTGATAACAGTTGGAATTTCACCCTCCGCCATCCACCCTCTCTCAAATCTCCCTTTTGACATGGTTTGTGCCATTAGACAGAACTGCCCATTTAGACAGACAGAGGACCGATGGACCCTTGAAGCAGAGGCTGACACTAGTGGGAATTCTCTTATGGCCTCTGCGCAGCATTGTGATAGCTGAACAATTAATCCTAACTTCTGTAATGTGTTATTGTGATTATCACCTGCAAGTTGCATACAGTAAACCGGCGCCTCAACAATGACTGGTGCTCACAATAGGCCTCTCTATTCCATCTATGTATTCCATGTATGTTTATCAACCAGGATTCACACCCAGCACTAACACACCTGATGGAAGTACTGTAATCAAAGTATTAATGATACGTTTAATAGTTGAATCAGGTGTGTGAGTACAGGGCTGGAACAAAAATGTTTCACCCTATCGGTCCCCAGGGCTGGAGTTGAGGAATAAAACCTAATTCCTTTCCCTGGATACTAAGTCATTGTTGTGGAGACAGAAAACAATCATATTTGTTCTAATTTGTTAATAATATAATCTTATTCATATTATAGCACCATAGCCACGGGAAGTCATTTGGGGGTGGCGATGCTGACATTTATTTTTTTGCCCACGCTACAGACTATATCGGTCCGCTAATACAGGATTAGTAAAGGCCCAGTGCACTACTTTGTGTGGTTATATCTCCATTAAGAGTCAAGGTGGACAGCATGTATACCTCATCCAAAGGATGTACCTATTGACTATGAGTAATTGGAGCTTGTGAGAGAGGAGGTAGGGAGAGATTTTGAGTGAAATGCGGTCCAAGTTCCGTGCCATGCTTAGCGCCCAAGGTCGGCAGGGGACGTTGCAAAAGTTTACACAGTGAGAGAGGGGGGTGAGAAAGAGAGAGAGAGGGTGGAGTGAAGAGGGGGAACAGAAACAGAGAGAGAGAGAGAGAGAGAGAAGAGAAAGAGGCACTGCTGAACAAAACGCATCTTGCTTGGGAAACTTGCTATAAGGAGAGAGGGAAAAGAAAACAAAAAGAAAATGAAAGAAACAACCCAGACTTACCAGTCGCCTTCGTACAACTGTTGGTCTTTGCGAAAGCTAATGGGAGTGACTTGCTAGCTGAGTCTTAGGGCTTATGGGGCTAGATTCCAGGTGATGCACCACTAGCCCTAGCTAGCACACTGAGGTAGAGGGGATCGTTAGAGGGAAGGTGGTGATGCACTGCACTAGCCCTAGCTAGCACACTGAGGTAGAGGGGAACGGTAGAGGAAAGGTGGTGATGCGATCAGGCCGAGGGGCCAGGGCAGGGACAAGGGGGGGTCGGGGAGGTTAGTAGGTTGACTCGATTGAGACACTCAAACAGGGAGGGGACAGGTATGACAGTGAAGGCCCGCACTGTGTTCTGTTGGCATGGCTCACTCGAAGAGGATATGTACCTTTTTACTCGCCGCTCAAACTCAATGCCAAGGTAAGATTCCCAGTCCTTCTCTTCTCTTCCTTCCTCTCAGACTAGGTGGCGTGGAAGGTTGGGACTACAGTATATGGTACCAGCCTGCAGCTCCAACTGACTCTGATTTACAGTTACTGTAGGTGCTGTCCAGAAAGCACACCAACACTTTTAATCACTGATCTGCTTCTTCTGCCTGTGTCCAAATAATACAACAAATATCTACCTTCTAATCCTCTCACTACCTCTGAAGGCTCCATATATGAAACAGGAAGTCTGGTGATCAGTCATTGCCCAATAACGTAGCCATTCATTCAGCTAATAAATGGCCTGTTTGCTCTGTGGAGGTTAGCATGACTCACGGATGATAAGGAAGTCTGTATGTGCTGTGCTTGTGTTATTTTCCCAGGAGTCTGGGTAAAGTGTGTGTGTGTGTTTCAGTGGCCTACCGCAGTTTGTACTGGATAGTAGTGCTCTATCATTTGAAAAACATCCATTATCAACAGATAGAACTCACAGGTCTTAATATCACGGCTTAGGCTAAGACCCAGATGCAGACACAGGAGGCAGATAGTACGAGTCTCAGAGTTTATTACTGAACAAGGGGCAGGCAATCGGTAGGTCAAGGCAGGCAAAGAGTCGTAATCCAAATCAGAGTCAGGTAGGTACAGGACGGCAGGCAGGATCAGGACAGGCAGAAAGGTCAGAACTGGGAAGACTAAGAAACACAAACTAGAGCACAGGAAACACGGGTACAGGCTGGTAGGACTTGACGGGACAAGTCGAACTGGCAACAGACAAACAGAAAACACAGGTATAAATACACAGGGGATAATGGGGGTAGATGGGAGACAAGCACAAAGACAGGTGAAACAGATCAGGGTGTGACACCTAAATCCATTATCTTCACTTTTTTAAAGTTCTGTGCTTGTTCCAAGGTGACATAAAATTCTTAAATTATTATCACAGTATAATTCTGATATAGTATGGCCTGCACTCCTGAACCCTCTAATACTTTCGAGAGAGAGGGAGAGATACAGGAAAGGATAGATTTAAAGGAGGTTGTATAATGTGGAATCCTGTTATAGTACCGTATTTATGCTTAAAATGTTACACATTTGAATGTACAGTCGTGGTCAAAAGTTTTGAGAATGGCACAAGTATTGGTCTTCACAAAGTTTGCTGCTTCAGTGTTTTTAGATATTTTTGTCAGATGTTACTCTGGTATACTGAAGTATAATTACAAGCATTCCATAAGTGTCAAAGAGTCAATATTTGCAGTGTTGACCCTTCTTTTTCAATACCTCTGCAATCCGCCCTGGCATGCTGTCAATTAACTTCTGGGCCACATCCTGACTGATGGCAGCCCATTCTTGCATAATCAATGCTTGGAGTTTGTCAGAATTTGTGGGTTTTTGTTTGTCCATCCGCCTCTTCAGGATTCAAATCAAATCAAATCAAATGTTATTGGCCACATGCGCCGAATACAACAGGTGCAGACATTACAGTGAAATGCTTACTTACAGCCCTTAACCAACAGTGCATTTATTTTTTATAAAAAAGTAGAATAAAGCAACAAAAAAGTGTTGAGAAAAAAAGAGCAGAAGTAAAATAAAATAACAGAAGGGAGGCTATATATACAGGGCGGTACCGGTGCAGAGTCAATGTGCGGGGGCACCGGCTAGTTGAGGTAGTTGAATAATATGTACATGTGGGTAGAGTTAAAGTGACTATGCATAAATAATTAACAGAATAGCAGCAGCGTAAAAAGATGGGGTGGGGGATGGCAGTGCAAATAGTCTGAGTAGCCATGATTAGATATTCAGGAGTCTTATGGCTTAGGGGTAGAAGCTGTTGAGAAGTCTTTTGGACCTAGACTTGGCACTCCGGTACCGCTTGCCGTGCGGTAGCAGAGAGAACAGTCTATGACTAGGGTGGCTGGAGTCTTTGACAATTTTGAGGGCCTTCCTCTGACAATGCCTGGTATAGAGGTCCTGGATGGCAGGAAGCTTGGCCCCAGTGATGTACTGGGCCATACGCACTACCCTCTGTAGTGCCTTGCGGTCGGAGGCCAAGCAGATTGACCACAAGTTCTCAATGCGATTAAGGTCTGGGGAGTTTCCTGGCCGTGGACCCAAAATGTCGATGTTTTGTTCCCCAAGCCACTTAGTTATCACTTTTGCCTTATGGCAAGGTGCTCCATCATGCTGGAAAAGGCATTGTTCGTCACCAAACTGTTCTTGGATGGTTGGGAGAAGTTGCTCTCGGAGGATGTGTTGGTACCATTCTTTATTCATGGCTGTGTTCTTAGGCAAAATTGTGAGTGAGCCCACTCCCTTGGCTGAGAAGCAACCCCACACATGAATGGTCTCAGGATGCTTTACTGTTGGCATGACACAGGACTGATGGTAACGCTCACCTTGTCTTCTCCGGACAAGCTTTTTTCCGGATGCCCCAAACAATCGGAAAGGGGATTCATCAGAGAAAATGACTTTACCCCAGTCCTCAGCAGTCCAATCCCTGTACTTTTTTCAGAATATCAGTCTGTCCCTGATGTTTTTCCTGGAGAGAAGTGGCTTCCTCGCTGCCCTTCTTGACACCAGGCCATCCTCCAAAAGTCTTCGTCTCACTGTGCGTGCAGATGTACTCACACTTGCCTGCTGCCATTCCTGAGCAAGCTCTGCACTGGTGGTGCCCCGATCCCGCAGCTGAATCAACTTTAGGAGACGGTCCTGGCGCTTGCTGTACTTTCTTGGGCGCCCTGAAGCTCATTCACAACAATTATTAATTGAACCTCTCCTTGAAGTTCTTGATGATCCAATTAATGGTTGATTTAGGCGCAATCTTACTACCAGCAATATCCTTGCCTGTGAAGCCCTTTTTGTGCAAAGCAATGATAACGGTTTCTTTGCAGGTATCCATGGTTAACAGAGGAAGAACAATGATTTCAAGCACCACCCTCCTTTTAAAGCTTCCAGTTAGTTATTCTAACTCAATCAGCATGACAGAGTGATCTCCAGCCTTGTCCTCGTCAACACTCTCACCTGTGTTAACGAGAGAATCACTGACATGATGTCAGCTGGTCCTTTTGTGGCAGGGCTGAAATGCAGTGGAAATGTTTTTGGGGGATTAAGTTCATTTTCGTGGCAAAGAGGGACTTTCCAATGAATTGCAACTCATCTGATCACTCTTCATAACATTCTGGAGTATGTGCAAATTGCCATCATAAAAACTGAGGCAGCAGACTTTGTGAAAATTAATATTTGTGTCATTCTTAAAACTTTTGACCACGACTGTATGGTCGACCGAATGTATTAATGTACTGTATTATCATTGTGTCATACCAAAAGCAAACATTGCCCTACAATAGTAAAGGTTCTAGTACTTTTCTTTTTCAATAGACCTGACAAGACACAGGATTGCTGTACAGTGCTGCTGATAACAAATTACAGCAAAGTTGTGGGTTACATCCTCATTCATCTACCCATCCCCTCACTCTTTCGCTCTTCCTCTCCCTGTCCTCTATTATTCTCTCTCTACCCCCTCCCTCTTTATCCCCCTAATCCTTGTACCCCCTCTTTTTCTGTCCCTCTCCCCCATTCAGGGAGAAGGCTTGTCTGGCGACAGACTCCGAGCTGGACCAGGACCTCAGTGAGCTGCTGGGCCTGGGGAGCAGTGACACCCTCACCAATGGTAACCGTGCCAACGGGGAGGCCGCTAAGCGCCTGGCCAAACGCCTCTTCACCCTGGACGGCTTCAGGAAGTCCGACGTGGCCCGCCACCTCAGCAAAAAGTGAGCACCTGGCACCTAGCCTTCATGTGTTATCAATCCCTCTCTCTACTATGTGCTGCTATACATTGTCTATGCTATATATAGCGCATATACTGCTATACTAAGCCTGGTCTGGACCTTGTCTGAAACCTCTGTCTTCCTCCGCGGCCCTAAGTTTTCGTCTCCAAGACTCAAACCGACTGTGCTGTGTGACTGGGAAAGCTTGTATCTGATTAACATGTTACTCTCTCTCTCTCTCTCTCGCCCCAGCAATGACTTCAGTCGTATGGTTGCAGAAGAGTATCTACACTTCTTTAACTTCAAGGGTCTTACTGTGGACCAGGCTCTGAGGTGAGGGGTTCAGACTGAGTGACTTGTTCAACTAGAAAAACAAACATGTTTTCCATAAATTGGTTCTTGACACCAATGACTGGATTTCTAGACATTACATTGTTTTGGATAAGTTGCCTTAAATGGGATGCTGGACTTCATTTTGTGTTCCATTCATTCTGTCACTAAGTTGAATGCACCAATTTGTAAGTCGCTCTGGATAAGAGCGTCTGCTAAATGATGTAAATGTAAATGAAGTTAGTAGATGGTAATACTGCTCTCTGGTGGCAAGTTGAGTGAAGGCAGCTTATTATGCCACTAGTGTTTCTAGCCCAGAAATAAAACTTCTAAATCAATTAATCAAGAGCTTGGTGATTATTGAAGTAGTTGAATGAGGTGAATAAATGCGTAATGAGGTGCGTTACCGCTGGTCTGGAACCGACAAATTGCCACCCTGAGGATACTGGATACTTGATTGGGGTTGAGAAACAGTGTGCCCCTGCTTAATGTGTGTGTATGTGTGTTCCAGAGGCTTTCTCAGACAGTTTTCCCTGATGGGGGAGACTCAGGAGAGGGAGCGGGTGCTGGCTCACTTCTCCAGGAGATACCTGCACTGTAACCCCAAACTCATACCCTCTGAGGGTAAGAGGACAGTAGTGACTAATGTCTACTATAGAAATATGACAGCTCAGTCGTCTTGTTAATAGATGCAGTGGTGTAAAGTACTTAAGTAAAAATACTTAAGTCGTTTTTTGGGGTATCTGTACTTTACTGTTTATATTTTTGACAACTTTTACTTCACTACATTCCTAAGGAAAATAATGTACTTTTTACTCCATACATTTTCCCTGACAGCCAAAAGTACTTGTTATATTCTGAATGCTTAGCAGGACTGTCACGCTGTATACCGATAGAAGAAAGGAATATGTAATAGTTGTTTTTTTATTACTCAACCCAACATAAGGTATGTCATGGAAAACGACGTGGACAAAGCCCAAAACAAACACGTGTGTATATATATAACACATGGCTGTATCCCAAACGAAAGAGCGAGGTGTAAACCTTTAAATAATACACGGGACGAGACCCGTAATAACAAGTGCACAATTACTCGGCATGTAAACTGTAATACAATGTACTCACGAGACCAACGGACATGGGACACTAATCGACAAGGACAGAGGGCACATGTATACACATACTAATCAGGGGGAATGGGAACCAGGTGTGCGTAATGAGACAAGACAGTCCGGGGTTGGTGGTAATGAATCAGGTCAGTGACGCCTAGAAGGCCGGTGACGTAGACCTCCGGATCTGGTGAACGGAATGAGGAGCAGTACCGGGGGGGATCCGTGACAAGGACTGGAAAATTGTCCAATTCACACACTTATCAAGAGAACATCGCTGGTCATCCCTACTGCCTTTGATCTGGCGGACTCACTAAACACACAGGCTTCGTTTGTAAATTATGTCCGAGTGTTGGAGCGTGCCCCAGGCTATCCGTAAATTTAAAAAAAATATGAAAATTGTGCCGTCTGGTTTGCTTAATATGATCAATTTGAAATTATTTATACTTTTACTTTTGACACTTAAGTATATTTTTGCAATTACATTTACTTTTGACACTTAAGTATATTTGAAACCAAATACTTTTAGACTTTAACTCAAGTAGTATTTTACTGGGTGACTTTCACTTTTACTTGAGTCATTTTCTACTAAGGTATCATTACTTTTAGTATGAAAATTGGGTACTTTTTCCACCACTGAATAGATAGATAGATACTGTATGTTTCTTCCTTATCCAGATGGTGTCCATACCTTGACCTGTGCCGTGATGCTGCTAAACACAGACCTGCATGGCCATGTAAGTAGAGTTTAGTCTGTCTGTGTGTGTGTGTGTGTGTGTTAGGGTATACAAAGTTCAGTGGGTTCAGCCTAGAGTAGAGACAGTTTTCAGAGATCCATCCCCCCAGGCTCCACTGACTCAGTACAGTGGTAGTTATGGGGAAAAAGCCCCAGACTGATCGAAGGCTGATCTGGGACCAGCCTCCTGATTACAATGTGCTCCACACTATCATAAATCCAGTCCATATCAAAACTGTAGACTGATTTCAGTATAACTCTAAATCTAGGCCATCTATAGCTGCATGGTGTGACGTGCAGCCTCTGCAGATGATTACAGGTAGTTAAGTCAGAGCCATTTATATAATATATGGATACATACAGCTCTGGTTGAAGGGGCTAAAGCTGGCTGGATGAAAAACCCACTCTCTTGGGGGAAGGGGAGATTAAGAGATGCCAGGCTGATATACAGTCTTCAGAATTCAATGTATTCATCCCCCTCGACTTATTCCACATTTTGTTGTCTTACAGCCTGAAATCAAAATTCATTAAATAGATACTTATGTAAATGAGACATTTCTGTATTTCATTTCAATACATTTGCAAACATTTCTAAAAACATGTTTTCACTTTGTCATTATGGGGTATTGTGTGTAGATGGGTGAGAAATGTTTTTGAATTCAGGCTGTAACACAAAAACATTGGGAATAAGTCAAGGGTATATGAACACTTTCTGAAGGCAGCACTTCATCATCATCATTCATCATCATCATCCTGATCATCATCATCATAGTCCCCAGCATCTTCTTCATCTTTATTGTCATTGACTTGCTCTTTTCATCAATATTTCTGCCATCTGTGAAACTCCTCAGCCTGAAGTGTCTCCACTTGTGCTGCTGAATAGCTTTTTGATGGCGCGACTGAGTAAGACACTTCAGGAGGGTGGTGACGTGTGTTTGCGAGGCAGAGGTCCTGGGTTGAGCCTCGGTATGAGCTGAATCAGGAGGAAGTGATACTCGCTAAGCATGCAGCGTGACGTCCTTTACACAGTCTTCCTCTGAACACTCTCAGCTCATCAGCTAGATGAAATCATTTGGATGAGGTCCCTGAAAGTCATTTCTCCCCATAACATCCTTCAGAGATGAATTCTAATATAGCTGTTTGTCAGAGAGCTGCAGAAGGTCTGATAAATTATAAAATCTGTGAATGGATTTGTGGCTCAAATATTTTTAATAACTGATGTTAGTGATACTTTTAAAGATTATATTTATTTATAGCATAGTAGTCTCGAAAATCCCAGAGCTAGGGCAATAGTACTAGGTCTGGAAATGATTTAGGATTTTCTTGGCCAATTCAGGGAGGGTGCTCTTCAGACAGACAACTCTTCCAACAAATCACAAGTTTGGGTAGACGGGGCTTCAAAATAATCCCCTCTGAAACATGACCAAGGTGGACACACAATGCGGACGCAGATAGCTAGGCACATTTTTTCCACAGCCAGTCAGTGGTTGTAAGCTTGTAACGCTAACGTCATGGCGCATGCAAACTACTCACCTGCAAAATACACTCATTGAAGATATCCTCCGCGAGTTCCATCTAGCTAACTACCGGAAATGTTTATGGCAGAGCTCTGGACGGATTTTCAGGCACCCAACTCCGCCCTTTCGTCTCTGCCAAATTGACATTGGCTTAAGTACAGACATGTACTATATGCTGTAAAATTGGTACATTGTGGGAGGCAACCCGTCTGTCTAGAGAGACTAATAGCATAGAGTAAATACTGTATGTCATATTTTTCAGAACATTGGCAAAAGGATGTCCTGCACACAGTTCATTGGCAACCTGGAGGGTCTGAATGAGGGTCAAGACTTTTCCAAAGACCTTCTGAAGGTGAGTCACTGTACTGTACATTGCTATAAACACACATGCACACACACACTGATGCACATGTATGCACACGCACAGGGACACACACAGACACACTCCACAGCGAGTGTGTTTGTGTGTGTGTGTCCTGCTGAGTGCTTTGTGTTGTTGTGCCATGGTATTCTGTACAGTAGCTCTGCTAGCTGGCCTCCATGCATCGCCTGAGTCCACCTACCACGGCTCTGCCTCGGTCACCATTTCCTGTAGCACACTTCGGCATGGCACGGGGTGGAGTGGCGTGGGGGGTGGAGGCTAATTGTTATGTTGTCTAGCAGATCATAAGACGTGCTGTACCTCCCCTCAGGGGCATCTGTGCTTGAGATCAGACAATATTAGATTATGCTATTAGGTTATTCCTGTTGTGGGCAGCATAAGGGGATTAGGCCCATCTGGGCGCCTTCATTTAGAACCCACAGGCGCACTAGTGGATGCCAGATGAGCTAAATCAGTGGTGTTGCCTGCCATTGACATGCCTAATGATGATGCGTTTTATTAGTTTTGTCTGCAGAGAGTTCTCTCAACACAATTGTTGTTGTAATGGTGTATCTATAATACATGAGAGGGGGGCAGGGAATATTATTTGGGCAGAAATGAAGGGGTATGAATTCTAAAACGACAGGCTTTTTGCTGAGAGAGAGAGAGAGAGAGAGAGAGAGAGAGAGAGAGAGAGAGAGAGAGAGAGAGAGAGAGAGAGAGAGAGAGAGAGAGAGAGAGAGAGAATCTACCAAAGAACAATTGGCCAAAAACAAATCCAATCCCTCCTAGACGACTTCCTGGGCAAAATGTTTCCTGCAATAGTGAAGGTGTAAACTTAGCAGTTCAATGCCTGAAAATACCAGAAAATTATACAGGAGGGGGTCACAGTTCCGGAGCGACCCACTAGGTGTCAACCTCCGACAACCTTAGGCACCTCCTCACTCACAGTCTGGACTAATCATTATCTTATTGGTGCCACCTGTGTCTACCTGTTCACCTGTGTATTTATGCCCTCACTTCCCTGTGTTCCCTTGCTCTGTTTTCTCTGCTAGTACTCGATGCCAAACAGTACTAATCAGTGTCTGATCGTGAGACGTATGTACAGGTACTTGAGAAGTGTTCTCTCTGTTTCATTGTTGTTTTCAGTCATAGTTAGTATTTCGTATGTTTGCTGTCAGCCTGTTTTTGGAGACCTTTATTTTTTCGTGACAAGTCCGTTATTTTGTATCCTGGTTTTGGGACCACCAGTAAAGATCCATGTTTCACCATCTCTGCCTACTGCCTACTGTCTATCCTGCACCGCACCTGGGTCACACCTCACATCAACCCTTACAAGAAAACCTAGAAAATGTACTGCATTGACAAATGGTTTGATTTTGAGTGCAAAAACCTAAGAAAGAAATTGAGAAACTTATCCAACCAAAAACAAAAAGACCCAGAAAACCAGAACATACGCCTTTATTATGGGGAAACACTAAAACAGTACAAAAATACACTAAGAAAAAAGAAGGAACAGCACGTCAGAATGTGATTGAAGAATCACTCCTGGGAAAATTGGAACAAACAACAACACGAAGAGCTAGCAAAATGGAGATGCATGAATAAACCACTTCTTAAACCTTTTCGGCCATATAACAAAGAACCAAGAGCAAAAACATATACATGACAATTTACAAAACTTAGAATCAGCTATTAAAGACTACCAGAACCCATTGGATTCTCTAATTACATTGAATGAACTACAGGACAAAATGCCAAACCCTCCAACCCAAAAAGGCCTGTGGTGTTGATGGTATCCTAAATGAAATGATAAAATATACAGACAACAAATTCAAGTTGGCTATACTCAAACTCTTCAATATTATCCTCAGCTCTGGCATCTTTCCCAATATTTGGAACCAAGGTCTGATCACACCAATCCACAAAAGTGGAGACAAATCTGACCCCAATAATTACAGTGGATGTGTCAACACTATCATCAACAGCAGACTCCAACATTTCCTCACTGAAAACAATGTCCTGAGCAAATGTCAAATTGGCTTCTTACCAAAATACCGTATGACAGAACACGTATACACTCTGCACACCCTAATTGACAAACAAACGAAACAAAAGCAAAGTCTTCTCATGCTTTGTTGATTTCAAAAAAGCTTTTGACTCAATTTGGCATGAAGGCCTGCTGTATAAATTGATGGAAAGCGGTATTGGGGGAAAACCTACGATATTATAAAATCAATGGACACAAACAATAAGTGTGCGGTCAAAATTGGCAATAAAGACACAGATTCCTTCCCTCAGGGCCGGGGGGTGAGACAGGGATGCAGCTTGAGCCCCACCCTCTTCAACATTTATATCAATGAATTGGCGAGGGCACTAGAACAGTCTGCAGCACCCGGCCTCACCCTACAAGACTCTGGAATTAATATAATAATAATAATAATATGCCATTTAGCAGAATTAAATGTCTACTGTTTGCAAATGATCTGGTGCTTCTGTCTCTTACCAATGAGGGCCTACAAAAGCACCTAGATCTTCAGCACAGATTCTGTCAGTCTTGGGCCCTGACAGTGAAACTCAGTAAGACAAATATAATGGTGTTCCAAAAAAAGTCCAGATGCCAGGACTACGAACATAAATTCTATCTAGACACCATTGCCCTAGAGCATACAAAGAATTACACATACCTCGGCTTAAACATCAGCACCACAGGTAACTTCCACAAGGCTGTGAACAATCTGAGAGACAAGGCAAGAAGGGCCTTCTACCCCATCAGAAGGAACATAAAATTTGACATCCCAATTAGGATCTGGCAAAAAATACTCCAATCATTTATAGAACTCATTGCACTCTATGGCTGTAAGGTCTGGGGTCCACTCACCAACCAATAATTAACTAAATGGGACAAACACCCAATTGAGACTCTGCATGCAGAATCCTGCAAAAATATCCTCAGAGTACAACGCAAAACCCCAAATAATGCATGCAGAGCAGAATTAGGACTATACCTACCAAAATCCAGAAAAGAGCCTTTCAATTCCAGAACCACCTAAAGGAAAGCGATGCCCAAACCTTCCATCACAAAACCTGCAAGGAGATGAACCTAGAGAAGAGACCCCTCAGCCAACTGGTTCTGGGGCTCTGTTCACAAATACAAACAAAACGCACAGAGCCCCAGGGCAGCAACACAATTAGACCCACCC